CTTTTAAATCAAATATTAAGAGATGTCTTCACACAATTGTTATGGTTTTTACCATTGAAGGCTGAGAGTTATGAAGATCTGTTCTATTTCCCATTTATCTGTTACTACACTTTAGAACATTTTTAAAATGAAATCTTTACATTTCTATTCCCTCCTTAAGGCTGAGCACCTATATAAAGCAATAAAATCCGCATTCCTACGCATGTCGCACAAAATCAGCATATTCGCTGACCGATTTTGAATCCACCCTTGCCGCACGCAATGGAAATATAAAAAAGATATCTGCCCGAGGCCAGCGGCATAAATAAATAATTTTTTTTTACCATGTCCCTGTCGCTTTGTGTATCCTAATGTGTTTGGGTGGCGGGCGGTGGCGAAACAAGGATAACATGACTGATTATGTAAGCAAAAGGAAAGGCAGCGGGCCCAAACAAAAGCGTACATCCAAGCACATTTGGGTCCCGCCTCGTAGCCCCCGTATCTTCTGGCATTTTCCGGGTTTTCCCTTCTTTTTTTCGGCAGTTTGCCGCAGCAGGTTGTGCGGCAGTGGCATATACACACACCCACTTATTGTGCTGTGCGTGTTTTTGAGAAAGTGGCACAATTTTTACTTTACGAACGCCTAATGTAATAAAGCCCGCCCTCCGTAAAATCCAGAGTCCTGAATCCCCACAAATGGATGGCTGCGTTTAGCATTCGTAGCGATAAAGCCACTGGGGCAGCAACAGCATCAGAAGCCATAGAAAATCTGAGGTTGGATGGAGGTGGGATGTTGGCCATGTGTGCGACTAAAGGTGGCCCAAAGCGGGGTCAATGGCCATAAATCAAACCGAAAATTATACGCATTCATCTGCTGAGCTGGCAAAAGAACAAGAAAAATATATCTGCCACGTTGCCTGCGGCGAGGGTGGAGCTGAGAATTCAGAATGCTGGCGTTTTTCCGTTTTCGGGGGAGTTTTCCAAATGGCGGAAAATATGGGTAACTGTGCGAAATCTAATGGCCACCAAAAATCGATAAAAGGCGAGCTGCCACTTGGTTTTATTTGCCTTCACCTGACACTCGAGTGTTTTAATTGCGTGCGAATCGAGTGGCAAACGGCCGGCATACTAATATTAATTCCGTTGTTAATGCCAGAAATTGTTATTCAAATTCGGTGGCCATTAATCATTAATCGAAAGCTTAACGACTTTGAATGGTTAAAATATTGAAATTAAATTAACATTGTTGGGGGATGGCTGTGATGAACAACGACGAAGTGGGAACTCGCTAATATTAAAGTTATTAAAAGATGATGACTTGAGGTTTTTGATCTTTTAAAATGATTCCGATTGAATGATTTTGTGGCTTAATTTAATAATTGATATAATTAATGATTATTTTATATTTTCAAAAAAATATATATTAAGTTTCTGTAGGGTATCTAAAAATTCCAACAAAAGAAAATGGCTTGACTATAACCAGTAATTACTGTGGAATATAAGATTCGACTTTGAAGTCAAAGAAAGAACAAGGTAAACAAATTACAAATAACCGGTGTCAGAAAAAGTATACATATTGTACATATATAAACACAAGTATATTTAGTGCTAATAATCATATGGTTAGAATGCGGCATTATCAAAAGACGTTTAAAGAAAGAAATAAAAGGAAGGCTGATCTTTTGTTTGTGATTGACCCAAAGAGTATGGAGCCTGGACTGTGGATCAAATTAGCAGCGAGAGGAGTTTCACAAGTTCTTTATAAAATGTGATAATCAACACAAATCTTTTTGATACCCATTTTAAAAGTATAAGAAAATACTGCCTATGAAATAACTCAATCATAAATATTTTATACCAGAAGGACTTAAAAAAGAACTACAAATTTAAAGCTTAACTTTTGTGACACAGTTTGAACCTCAATTAAGTAAAATAACTCTAATAAACTCTAGGGATAAGTAAAAAGTGAAATACATCTGAGAGCTTGCAATGCCGAGATACCTTCGCAAGTATCTTTGCAACTGTGAGATACATTGTCGACCAGTGGCCGTCGAGCAGTTCAAAGTGAACTGGCCGCCAATTAACTAATTTGCCAAGTCTCTCTCCGAGGGGCAATTAAGAGGACTCGGCCAACGACCAGAAAGGGAAGTGCACTCACACTGGCCCAGAGAACATATATGTACCCCCATACATATATATACCCACGTGAGGCACTTGCAGATAATTCAACTTGTTGCAGTTGGAATTTGTCCCCATCTCGGTGTTTACTTGCCCCGCTCACCTGGCAATGTCAGAAGTCAAGCGAACTGATAATTGCAATAGTGCCAAGTGGTTCGAAATACCGGAAACGGCGAAGGGAGAACTTTCAGATTGTCGTGAGGTAAGTATTTTTGGTATGGGGAAAACAAAGTCAAAAGTATTTTCAACCTGCCGAATTACGTTTACCAAATGGAACTGCTCATAGGCGGGGGGCCCAGAATTTTCCAATTGCCTCGTTTCATGTTTATCCGCAAAGTGGCGCCAAAGTTTATCAACAATTCAACAAATTAAGATACTTTATTGCACATTATTATGTTATTATTGTGAATTGCGTGCCATTTGCTTTCGTTTCGAGGGGAAAAGAGGGCGCCGACGCGTCGATCTTGTCGAGACATTAAGACATGTTCCCCCCGGTTAAAAATAGACCCCGCCCGAATGATAATGAAGCCAACTCCAAAGTGTGTGCAAACATCTGGCCAACAAAACGATCAAAGCCGCACACATCGGGAAAAATTTACATATCTCGTGTAAATATCTTGTATATTTGCTTAGTTATTGGGAATGAAAATGTATCTTTTATAAGAATCTACAATATAATTGATCTTAGCTATGGGAGTTCCATTCAAAGCAGAATAATCTACAAGATTATGTGTTATTGTATTCAAAAACATTTTTTTGAGATTGTCTCCGAAACACATTTGCATGATAATTGATTAAATGTATTTTAAAGAAAACAGTTCCGATACAAGGCATTACTAACATTTTTATAGTTTTAGTGGTGAGCAAAAAAGATATTTGAGATAGTATAGAATTTATTCACTAAACGTTAAAGATAATTCACTTTATGGATATTAAGAAACGAATTGTTACATATTTTCCCTTCCAATAAATTAGAAATATATAACAACTATTACCTCGCATTGAAAAACATAAACATCCTTATCGCCCATTCCTTATAACATCTGCGTCAAAGTGGTCTAATGGATTATATCCTTAAAAGGCTGACAACAACCGCTCCAGAAACTCCTCCCATCGCAACTCGAACAGAAACATTATCCAGACAAAGGAGCATTATTGTAATCGATTGGACTTTATTCTATTAGCGTCGGCATAATATACATTCAGCCCCTCAAAAAACAGCCACAAATTTCCTATATATGACAAAAAATGAGCCGGGAAAATGAAGAGAGAGGGAGATGGAGAGAGTGGAAAACCGCATTCGCAGGAATACATTTCCCGCCATAGACTTTATTAATTTTCTAATGGATTTTACGTTTTCTGCAGTTGAAGATTTCAACATTTCAGATAAATATTTATGCGTGGGGTTGGGTTGGGTTGGTGGTTGGATAGGTTGGGTGGCTATACGGATATACATGGAAACCGACTTGGAACCGTACTTGTTGTTGTCAATGTCGGCGACAGGACTCTCCGGGCTGTGTCCCTTTTTTTTATGGACAGGAATTGATTACGATTGGCAAATGGCACTCGGTGGAAGGAAGTTTTGTTTATGCCTGTGATGGTAATTTATGCGATTGTATAAATTGCCCATAAACATATAGGGAAACTGCAGAGCTTGCTGGTTTTGTTGTCTGTCGAGTGTTTGGTTAACATAACTAAAAACAGGAATTAACAGCCTTTCGAGTGTGCCTAAACGGACGAAAGTAAATTAAATGTGTGTTTAATTGGCTGTGCGGGGGAGGTGCCACTGTACCGCAGTACAGCAGTACCACTGCAATAAACTGCATTACAGTGCCACTTGGATTGGCGTGCCCCGGGGCGATTCTTGTCAAGTGCAACCTGCTGAAAAACTGCTAACAAAATGATACGCTTTGTAAAATTCGCAGCCAGGCATCACCAATTTTCTCGCTGATTTTCTTTGCGTGCCAAGTGATACTTTTCCCCGATTTTCCTCACTGGGCGGTGGGTGGCTTTTAATTGCACACCAAGAGCCAGGAAAATGTGTCTTTGTATGGTGTGGAGTGTTTTTGGTAGTTAAACGTTTGTTTCTATATATATGTATGTGTGTGTTGGCCAGAGTTGACAAACTGAATAATTGGCAATTATTTTGGGCAAATTTTATGAGCTGATAATTTCACATATTATATGTACAGAGTTGCATAACTTATTCTGGCCAAAACCTATTTTGGGATGCATGCACATGCTGAACTATGACAGACACTGAGAGATATTTATGTACATTGGGGTACTAGGGAGTATAGTTGGAGGTATGCACACAACACAGAACTTACTAGATTTATTGGAATTTGAAAATATATCGCTTTACCTCTCGAACTCTGGCAGGAGACGCTTCCTCTTGACTGACACAAAATGAAGACAAACGGGATGATCAGGATGATGATGATGCGATGATGTTGCAACACCAACAACAGCAACAACAACCAAACGCAAAAAATCAACGCAAAATTCAAAGAAGCTCGATTCAATGGAGTTTTGGAGTTTTTGGAGAGTTTTGGAAAAATGCTGGACATTTGGACTGGGCGGGTTTCGTTTTGGTTTGGTTTTTGTGTGTCTGTTTCTTTTGAAAAATATGTTTTTTGGCTGGGTTTTTTGGGGACTTGGCATTCTCAAAATCAAAAGAGAGTTTCCACAAAAACGAAAAATGGCTTTGCAACGCATATCGAAAAGGTGAATAAAAAATGTGAAAATTCAAAATGGGTTTTCTCACCAAAAAATTCAAAATAAATAATAGGCAAAACTATAAGCTAAGGGTATACAAAAAATATAACAAAACGTTGACTTACCTAGCCAGTCTGGTAGAAGTGAGCCCGCAAGAGATTCTGAGTATCTCTTACCTGGAAAAAACAGAGAAAAAGGTGTTTAATTATGAAGGTCAAGGGCGTCATTGTGCCTCACATGTTAGTAAAAAATAGAGTATACAAACAAAATAAACCAATCAAATAAATAATTCAATTAAAAATAAACAAAGTAAATATAGGTAATATAAGTATAAAATAAAATACAGTACAATTCAATAAATACAAATAATAATAAAAAGAATGGAAAAAAAATAAGTGGTCGGTCCTTAAAATTATGGGAAAACTTAATGTATAAATTATTATGTTGAACAAATACATTTTTTGTTTTTTTAAGAACGAAATAAACACATTTAATAAATATTAGTGCACAATATATAGGTTTACATGGTTTTTTGGCAGAATTATCATCTTTTTTATGTTGAAAACTTCCACTTTTTGTTGTAAAATGTAAAATATAATAATGCTTAAATTGCCGCGCCTGTTTGAGCAACTATAAAAGCCACATGACTCGCTAAGCAGTGAGTTAAGTTTTTCATAAATTTTCGCAATTTGAGGCTGCCGGAGGTATTTCGTTTATGCGCATGTAAATATCCCCAGGTAAATCATAATTCTAAGCTCGGCCCGGGGCTGTTGTCCCATCTCCCGGCGCTTCTCTAATGCTAATCTAATAACTTTAGCCGTCTCAAGAATTTATTTGCCTCAACAGCAGCGCACAAAATTATGCACGGAGGGCAGACCCTAATCCTCCGGCCCAAGGTAAAAGTGTTCCCGGCGGAAGACGTTGGAGCGCGTCAGGTGTGCGCATTAAAACGGAGACCTCCCATCCCAACTCGCAATCTAGTAAATTCCGTACAAAGTTTTAAATAATCGAAAACGACACGACGCACTTGGCGAAAAGTTGAAGCATGTAAAATTTGCATAAATAACAACTAAATGCAACTTGGCGCTGGGCAAAATGTTGCCAAATGATGAATTGAGCGGTAGACGGGGAAAGTGGGTGGGGCTCTTTATAAGAAAAGGTAATTTTAGGGCAGATGAAGACATATTTTCCAGCTTAAATCTGTTATAAAAATCATTTTTCATAGAATTATTACTGTGCGATCTAAATTCAGGAATAGTGTTTAAGAAATTTTATATAAATTCTAAAATAATATAAGTTAAATTTATTTTAAACATAAAGTTAAATCCAGATCATAAAAAACAGTTATGCTCATGTAACATGCTAGATTTTAAGAGGGGAACAATGTTTATTTTAAGCTCGGCTAAAAAAGTGGTATTTTATTGGTTTGTAAATCTCATTTGAATTTTTTGCTGAACAAGCGAATCATTTTAGGTGCAATGCAAACCATTTAAAAATATGTTCTCTGCCATACTGACACTCCACCTTCCTTGTAGATCGCTGGCATTTTGATTTTTGATTTTGAATGGATTTTTCATGAACTCCGTCGGCATCCCACAGCCCCCCAAACCCCCCTTATGCACACCCCTCTCGAAAGTTGGCAACTGCAGCCAACTCAATCGACGCGTCTCCGTTGGCGTCAAAAATGGGCGTAGCTTAAAAAAGAAAAAAATAAAACCCACAAGGGGAGGAATCAGGCCGAGGGATTTTTTTTTATTTTCGCTGTGTCTGCTGCGCTGTTGTATGCAAATAAATCAGCGGCGCCCCATCATATGTCTCCGGATCGAGGGGGGTTTTGGCATGGGTGTGGGGGGATGGACAAAGGGGATCGGCCTGCTGCAGTGCGCAAAAACATATCTCACACTATTTGTCATGCTTTTAGATACTTTTATTTTAAAATAAATTGCAAACTCTTTTGCGACAGTCGTTTGTCCCCCCTTTTCCACCGCGCTGCGCAATATTTTATAATGAAAATCCGCGACATGTGCATGTGAATGCAGTGGAAATGCAGCAGCACAATTTTCACATTCGACTAAATTTATCGCGCCAGCAGTTCGGGATTTTCGAATTGGAATAAATGCGCGCCAGCCAATAAATAAGTTAAATTAATGGCCGAGTGTTGACTAATTTTTTGTCGCCACTTGCCCGTTTATTCCCTCCGTTGTTCGTCGTATTGACGGTTAATAAAATTAGCCAAATTTACGTCTCTTTACCCATTCGGCCATTAACAATGACCATCATCCCAAAAAAAAACCCAAAACACCACAGGCCAATCTCATACCATCTCGAACCCTTCCGATTGCATCCCTCAGATGGGCGGCACAATCTGTTACTGGATGGGATGTGGGATGTGCTGCCAAGCGCGAGAGAGTAAAGTCCCTTTGCCTGGATTTATTATTTTTACAAGATAAATGCAACATTTTACATTGGAATTTACGGGCGTGCGCCGAAAAAAGTCCCAGCAAAAACAACGCCAAAGGCAAAAACAAACAATGACAAAGTCAAAAGTCGGGCACAGTGGGGCAAGTTAGCGCACTTTAGCTTACAGTGGAATAATTATTACGTACACAAACTATAAGTATTGTTAATATATCAGTCATTTAAGAAAGTTTGGATGGATTAAAAAAAAAATTAGTTTGTAAATATTTTACCAGGGTTGAATTTTAGTTTTATAACAAACGACTTGCTAAAGTACTCAAAAATCTGGTTTCTATACAAAAACGTTTTAGAGAAATAACTTCAAAAGGTAGTATAAATTAATAATTATTATATAAATGTATTTAAATTCTAAAACCTCTAAGCTTAGTTTTATATTTTTGTAGCCACTGTGCGCTGAGAATAAATTTCACGTGGCAACAAGGGACAGGAGTTGAAGCAACAACACCAGCAATGGCCAGCGGCCTTTTGGCCATTTTCGATAAAGCACATTTAAACAAATGAAAATCCTTTAAACGAGGATAACACACAGAGAGCACGTCCATGCTCGGTTTAACCCCATGACTCCAGGAACCCCCTGGAACCCCCTCGAAAACCCCCCGAAAACCACCCCATTCTCGCAACGGATTCACTTGAGTGTGTAATTGTGTATTTATTTGCGTTATTTGACAAAATATCAACAAGCACAATCAATCCTCAACAGTCAGTGGAGTCGCCCATCCGGGGAGTGCGACCTCCCATCCATTGGGGCCCCGTTTAGCCCCTTTTAACCCCACGCCCCTGTGGATTGCAAATTGCAAATGCTGCCATATGTCTGCCAGGGTTGCCAGGCAGAGAAATCCATTTAAATTAAAGCTGAGTTGAGCTGCATTCGAAAACGCATAAATATCGGTGTGTCGCCCGTCTGTATATATGTATGTATATATATACACCCAGCAGATCGGGCTACAAGTGTATATGTGCGTTGTGAACTTTCAATTTGAGCTGAATTCAAATTTAGTCCAGGCCAGGGCAATAAAATGTGCAAAAAAAAAATAGGAAAGAAATAGAAAAAATCGTTTGTTGCTCCTCTTTCTTTGCCTCTGAACTTTGGCTCAATTTTCGCACAAATTTAGAGACTGCAAAAGGCAAAAAGGACTTTGCAGATCCCCACAAATGTTGTATATAGGTTGGGCACAATTGTATCTTATGCAAATTTTCGTAAATTAAACAAAATCTTCGAAAACAGAAAAATAAGTTTCGAATTTATAGGCGAAACTTGTGTATCGAACCTAAGTAATGGGCGCAACTTCAGGCCTAGGACCTTCGCAGGACCTCCTGAAATGCCAGGACCACCCATACACACACACAACCCCATTTTCCGAGTGTATTTGCGAGTTAGTATCTGTGTGAGTGTGCTTGTGTGTACAATGCGACAAAGACTTATGGTTTCAGTGCCGGAATTAGAAGCTTTCTCTGCCTGCATTTCCACTGAACAGTGAACACTGAACACACTGCACTTGTTGTTGCTGCCGCCGTCGGTGGAACATTTGTCGTCCTTGTTGCTGCTGCTGTTGCCCGTCGCAAAATATATTGCAAATAATTCTCAATATATCGTAAAATGTCTGCTGCTAGTACAGTAAATATGCAAAGCTCGTTTAGCGCAAACAGTTGGGGGGTTTTTTGGGCGGGAGGAGCGGTTTAAGGGGCGATTTTAAGGGGGTGTTTCGGCCACTGATTTAGGGTATTGGCAACTTTTGGTGTTGGCCAAAGAAATGGGTTCAAAATAAAGCCCTTACGAGTGCATAAGAGTGTCATTAATCATGGCTGCAACCAATTTTAATGCGGGAAAATACACTGAGCGTATTAAAATAAATAAATACAATAGTTATTGACTATAAATAAAATGAATAAAATATGTATCTACCCTTACACAAATAATGAGTAATATTTTACCACCTCATTTTAGTTCATTACAAATGTATTTTCCATGAGGCACAATACCTATTTTATTAGTATTGAAGCTAAATTTTTTTTGCTCCCATTAATCCCCCCATTTAACCCCTTAGTTGGCTTTGCATAAAGGGGTGGTATTTACCCCCAAAACCCATGCACTCTCCAAATGGGAAACATATGGCGTACTGCGAGTACATTGACGATGGGTCGCACACTTTGACAGTTAATTTCGCAATTGTATTTCAATAACAATAAATTTGCACGTACGACATAAAGTTCGCTGGTGTTTGTGTGAGCCGGGTCCTGTGTAATTGTGTGCAGCTGATAAAGCCTAAACCCGGAACATTTGGTACAGCAGCTAATACGGAATCTAATTAAATTTTAGCTGCACTACGCTCACCCCGCACATCTGAGTACATGGCAAATGGCACAACGGCACTCTCGCTGCATACACATTGATCAATTAACAGACAATATTTTCATTTCGCCAATGGGTTAATTTATAAGCAACTCCACGACGTTTCCCCATTTTCCACGTTTTCTAAGGGCTGACTGGGCTGCACACTTGGTGGTTTTATAGCTAAATGGGAGTTGTAGATATTATAATCCCTATATTTTAATATAATGACTTAACACTTTTTGTAAAACAAGGACACAATACGAAAAGAGATCAACTTAATATAAACAGATATTTGAAAGTATTGATGATATTTCGTCATCATTGAAATTTTGACAATTTTTATAATGCATATGAAAATTAAAAACT